CCCCCACTCGGTGCATACCGCATGCCGGAGCTCTCGCAGAAACTGAAGGCTGGAAGGTGTGAAGGCAGGGAGGGCCGTGGTGGCACTGGGGACGGTGTGGGAGGGAGTGAGGAATAGGGAGGACCAGGGAACCGAGGGGAAAGAGAGCGAAGGCAGGCCCGTGAGGCCCCAAGGGGGAAGGACTCGACCACAGTGTAAGGCGGTGGGGCTTTCACTGGACTGGTGTGCAGACACTCAAGATGGGAATATTCATTTGGCATGCTGTAATTTAATCACGCAGTGATTAAATGTGTAATAATACATTAATTAATTTAAAATGGAAGTATAACTCAGTTACGTTTTCAGCTTTCCTGGCTATGTAGCCACTTCTCGCTCACTTATTTAAGTTCAAGCCTGCAGCTCCTAACTGGACGGCAGGTTCTAGAAAACTCCACTTCTTACGTCACTGATTTTACCCGATTACTGGCCAACGTCTGAACTGCACTTTGGCAGAGAGGCATCTACGTGGAGCTCAAACACTCACATGACGGATGTGACCGTGTAGTCAGTGCTAGTGTTTATGAGATGGTTTTCATCTGGACACAAGACTTTCGATGGTTTTCATCTGGACCCAAGACTGTCCCTACAGAGAACCTTCCGTTCAGGGACCAACTCCTCCCTCTAACCCAGAACGGCCACCAGTAAAACTTAAACCTAGGCTTCAGTTACCAGAGCGACCCGTGAAGACTCAGGTCTTCTCCCTGACTGAGGTCACGTGTGCCCCCACCGACGGGAGAAGCAGCGTGTAAGGGCTGTCCCATGCCGAGCGCTGAGCGAGCCTTCACGCTGCCCAGCACGCTGCATCCTCACAGCCACCCTTGGCAGAGCACATGTGTGGGGAGCTTGCTCTGTAAGCAGGCGAGCTGTCCAAGTCCCCACCGCTATGGCGAGGCCGCCAGCCATGAGCCACAGTCTGCCTTGTGCTCTCCAGCACCCAGCAGAGCTCTCCACGAGCACCCAGGGCCAGAACCCAGGAACTCCGAGTGGCCAGGGCATGTAACAGGGCTTCTGCACTTTCTGGGCAGCTGCAGGGTGGCTGTTAACAGGACAGCTGAGCTGAACTCTCCAAGTCAGCTCTGTTCACTTACATGAATGCAGAGCACTTAAATAAAATGCTTTAACTAAGGGCCCGGTGTCAGGCGCGTTCTCCAAGGAACCTCACGGGTATAGCTCAGCTCCCTGCTGGGCTGAGGCTGGCCTCCTGCTCCTCCAAGGAGCTCAGGAGCCTAAACGGACCTCCTCACTCCTGCTCCTCTGAGGAGTCCAGGACCCTGCGGGGACTCCCGGCTCCTGCATCGCCGTCACAGTGCTTGTCTGCTTCTTACCTGAAGAGGCAAAGGATCATGCTTCCGGTCACGAGGGATGTGAGCGACAGGCTGTAGCCCAGGGTGTAAATGGCCTTCACCAGGACGTAAAACGTGATCTACGGGGAGAGAGAGGGACCTGTGAACCCGGGTGCCAGCGCGGGCCACGGGTGGGCCCCTGACGGGCCGCATGGGCCCTGCAGGGCGTGAGGAGCAGCGCCAGTGGATCCCGTCTGTCTTGAGCGGAAAACACTCACCACCGAGAGCCCTGTCCCCGCAGCTCCTTACGGGTGGCTCTGGTGTCTCAGTCTGTCTGGGGACGTGGTCACCGCCAGCAGGGACAGTGGAGGAAATGAGCACTGAGCCTGTTCGGAAGTGAGCTGCTTGGTCCCCGAGATGTGCTCAGCATGTTGGAGACACATACGGGGACGAAGCAAGCGCACACAGAACACGGCACGTGGGGAGCCCGTCAGATCGAGAGCTTCCTCCGGCTGGTGGACCCGAGCTGGGGGCCGGGCAGCAGCTGCCTGTGGGTCTCCCCCAGCCTTTCCCGGCTTATTAGCAAGCTCTCCACTGTAATCCCGCGAAATGGCCAGTGACGACCGTGGCCCTGCGGTTAGAGGGACTCCCACACGGGAAATGCAGGCCGTGGGGAGGGACGCTTACTCGGGCCTGATAAGGTGAGGGCCCCCAAAGGGTGTCGTCATCCTCAATTCCGACAGGCAGCTCTTGGCTGCAGTTTTCCTGATGAGACCGATTCCTGTAAGACACGGCCACGTGCCCTCATGTGATGCACTTTGCCCAGGAGCCCTAAAATAGGGTCTACAATGAGACTTGTTTTTGAGAGAGTTTTTATATGGGGCATGTGCACTTGCCAGAGAGACAGAAAGCCAGAAATCACCCCCTGGGGAGATGGTAGGGATGGCTGTGCCATAATCCCTTCTCTGTTCTCCTGTCAGGATTCCGAGCGCACACGCACACACGCCCGGCATGAGTTTTAAGCTGTTGGGTCCCGGACTTGAACCACAGTCAACTCAGGGCGAGTCCAGTGGTGGAAACATTATCCATCTGCTGGTCCCACGGTGGAACTTGAAATGGAAACATTTGACAAGCTATGCATCAGATTATTAAAGCTCTATAATTATAACTTTCACTCGTTGTTTGGAACAGATCTGTTCGTTTTCTTTGAACTGTAGGAATTCTCTTGGGTACCTGGGCCATGGCCATATAAAGCAGTTCATGAAAGAAAACCATCTCTCCTCACCTCACTGTGCCATCCACAGCTCACCACCACCTTTACCTCGCCTCCCCTCTCAGCATCCCCACCTCACCGCACTCACCTCACCTCACACCATCCTCACCTCACCCACCACCATCCTCACCCCATCACCACTCCTCACCACCACCCTCACCTCACCCACTCACCTCACCCACTCACCTCACCTCACACCATCCTCACCTCACCCACCACCATCCTCACCCCATCACCACTCCTCACCACCACCCTCACCTCACCCACTCACCTCACCCACTCACCTCACCTCACACCATCCTGACCTCACCCACCACCATCCTCACCTCATCACCACGCCTCACCACCACCCTCACCTCACCACCACCCTCACCTCACCCCCACCCTCACCTCA